AGGTATAATAAAGCTGTTTAAGGTCAAATCGATTTTTCATGAGAAATAGCCAAATAAACCGAGAAAAATCATCAACAAAAATAATAAAATAATGAGAGCCCTCCATGGCAGTAGTAGGTGATGGTCCCCAAATATCAGAATGTATGAGATCAATAGGTGTATGGGAAATTGAAGTACTTTTATTAAATGATAAAGCAAGTTGTTTTGCAAGTTGACAAGTCAAACAATCAAAATTATCTGGAAAAACATGACCCAACTAACCACTAGAAACCAAGGACTTTAACCTACTAATAGAAATATGCCTTAAGCGACAATGCCAAAGATGAACAGGGAAAAAAAAAGGAATCAGGTACAAGAGTAGCTAACGGTGCGGAATTCAGAACATGAAGTTTAGGGGTGCAAATCTGGCCCAGCCCATGTCGGGCCTCGTCGGCTCCTGCCAAAATTTGAGTCGGGCCAGGCCAGCCTAAGAGACAAAAAAATTAGGCCCAGCCTTAGGCCTAGAGGTATTCGGGCAGGGCCAGTGGGCCTGGGCCTGACCATTTTTTTTTATTTTTTTAAATTTTTTCTACCAAGATTTTATTATTTTCCACTAAAACAAACACTAGGCCTCCAGATGGGTCAGGCCTTAAGTGGGCCATAAGGGGGCCGATGGGCAAGGCTACCGGCCGGGGCAGGCAGATCGGCCCGAGCTTTAAAATGATGGCCCAGCCCAGGCCCAAGGGCTCGGGCTCGAGCCCAAACAGGCCTAAATAAGTCGGGTCCATCTCGGGTAGGGGGCGGGCTGCGGGCCATTTTTACACTTCTAATGAAGGTGAATGAGCTCATAGAGACGTCCATGCTTATGGCCGATCCCAAGAGTTTGTCCCGTCTGAAGGTCCTGCACCAAACAACCATTAACAGAAAATTTGACAGTTAGACCAAGCTCACATAATTGACTAATGGAGATAAGGTTTAAGGTAAGAGCATGAATATGACAAACATGTGGTAAACACAAATTAGAGGTGGAAACAGAACCAACATGACTTATGGACATGAGAGACCCATCAGTAGTATAAATAGAGGAAATAGGAGCACATGGAGAGATGGAAGAAAATATAGTAGAATTGGAAGTCATATGATTATAGCACGTGGAGTCAAAATACCAAGAAAATGTACCTGAAGTCACAAAAAAAGCAGTAAGGGGAGGTGTACCAAAGGTGGAGAGAAATTGTTTGAACAGGGCCTCAACATCAGTTTGGAAAAAGACAAGGGCAGACAGATCGCGAGACTCGGAGAAATTCTCAAAGGCAGCAACAGCAGTGCGATGAGCAGGAAAAGATCTAGACTGATTCCCGGGACGATGTGAACTTCCCTTGGAAGAGCCACCGCGAGAGAAAGGGCCAGTAGAAGATGACCATGAGGGATTGTGAAAACAATCCTGCTGTAGATGACCGGGACCAATTTTGTTACAGTACCAATAGGGTCTAACTGGGCAATGAACCAGAAGATGAGTAGAAGGAAGACCCCGATTCTGACAATAAATGCAAGCAATGGATTGTTGGGTCGGCATAAAATAAGTTTGTGACTGAAAAGTGGCAAGAACAGAGTCTACATAATGAGTTTGGAGAGTACTGAGATGAGTTTTCTCAGATAACAGCTCTGAAATAGCATGCTCAAGAGTGGGTAGTGGAGTGCGATGAAGGAGAGATTCATGCACGAGCTCAAAATGGGTAGTGAGAGCCATGTGAAATTGAACCAACCACTGCTGATTACGATATGTAGTGAATAAAACAACATCGTCAGTGTGAGGCTAGGTAAGTTCTGAGAGAGCAAGCTGGTCCCAAACAAAATAGATCTGAGAAAGAAAGTCATTAATAGACTGACTAGGGTCTTAGCGCATGCGGTGAAGATGATTCTAAAGTTGATACTGATGAGCAAGACTGGTAGTCTGGTATCATTCTTTAAAAAAATTCCAAATGTCTGTAGCAGGAGTGGTAACAGAGTCAAGCTGAAAACGTCCAAACTGAAGACTAATAAAGGTAATAGAGGTATTCCGAAGCCAAGTAATGATCTAGTAGTTCTTGTTGTCCTAATATTCTAATCGGTCTTCATACTTAGCAGTAGTTTCAACGGCCTCTTTCACCGGTTTGGTCACATCCCTAGTGATAATATGCCAGAGTTTCCTACCTTTCAGGAAGAAAGACATGACTTGGGCCCACAGAACATAATTGGAGCCATCAAGAATAACAGAAATTGGATGGGAGGCATCATGGCGATCCATAATAATATTGTGGTAGGACTAAATAAATAGAAACAATACTGTAAAAGCAAAATCAGGTAAAACAGAGCATACCAGTGAGTCAGGAGGTTCAAAAATAGCTGAGAAAGGGGCGAAATCACCAAAAAATAGGCAAAATAAAGAGAATGGCAAAGATAACGTCAGTAGGGGCAGAGATGACGTCAGTAGAAGGTGTGGCGCACGTTAGAAGAACGGAGGCGCGACATAGGATAGCAGAGAAGGCGTGTGGCGCACAGTAGCAGGGACAATGCAAGGAGGGCGTGGGAAAGGCTGACGTCAGGCTGACGTGAGCGACAACTGAAGGGTGTGTGTAGGTGCGTGAGAGAGTGGCAGTGGAAGACTGGATGCACCGACAATAAAAATAGCGCTTGAGGGCGCGTCTGGTGGTGTTGGGCGACAGGCCTGGTAGCGTTGGAACCAGGAGAGAATTCCGAACACGAGGATAAAAAATTTGTAAAATCTTGGTCAACAACGATGATGAAACAGTGTTGTTGAACAAAGAATGGTGTAATCTGGAACCCTGTGATATGTGCTTTGATAATGCCACTGTGTACGGGCAATAAACAAGAGAAAAGAGGAGCTAGGATTTAAGACCCGTGCTCTGATACCATCTTACAATAGTTGAGAGAAAAGAAGAAAAAAGGTTTATATATTATATGAATAACCATGTACAAGAGCTCCTGTATATAGGAGAGTGATACAATCCTAATCTAATTTTAATTACTAATTTATATATACATTATCAATGATATACATTAATTAGGATATATATATATATATATTAATTAGGATATACATTATCAATGATATATATACATTAATCAGGATATATATACATTAATTAGGATATATATTAGCAGCTATAGTGGCAACTTAATTGAGTATAGTTTACCCTCATGTAACCATATGTCAATCTTAAGCTTTACCCAGTTCTACTTAAAATCCATTCTTAAGCCTTAAGCTTACCTTGTCAATCAAAAGCCTAAAATAAAAGTGAATGCCTAGCCCACCATATGCTTAAGGGTCTGTCCTAGGTCAATGTGGATTAATCTTAACCAGTCATTCTGGTAGAAATTGGGTTCGAAGTGTAAAAACTGTCCCATAAAACATTTCTTTGTATTCCACAATTCTGTTATTCCAGCCTACTTTGTACCTCAAGATATGATGTTATTCTGGTGTGTGTTCTAATTTGGGAGGGCAGCTTGCCCAACTTTATGGTCTTGTTTAGGCTTTTGGTTTCCACTGTACCCAAAATGAAAGACAAGATAAAAGTAAAATAAAGAAAGAAAAACAGTACTAAGCATTGTAAGCGTATTTTCTGACTTCTTTTTGTTGGAAAATTTGAATAAAAATTGACTCCAATGTCGTGTTTCTTCTTGAGTTGGAAGGATTTGTCCTTTTGGAGAGTCACAACTCTTAGTGAATGGTTGCAACCTTTCTTAAGTGGCACGGATGAGTCTATAAATTTTATCCCCCTTCACTGGAGTCAAAAAATTGAATTCGGACTATGTTTTCCCTTTTTCCTCCTTTTGCATCATTCTGCATATTTTTGAGAGTCTAAATTATGAGAGTATGTAGCACAAATTGGTTTGTTGTACACAGAGTAAATTGTGCAATTTTTTGTTTGTGTAGTAATTGTTGTATTCTGGAGGCAAGATGTCCATCAATCACAAGCATCAAAAACTTGGGTGAAGTATATTTAGTACTGAAAATTCTATTATTAAAACCATTGCCTCCTCTTCGTGCTGTTTTCTCTATTTCTCATGCTCCATCTGTTTGAGTCAATGAAAGGTAGGATCTTTTGTTTTGCTACCAAACTTACGTAGGCCAAGTGTGAAGAAACTTTGTACAAGCTTGAAAACCAAAATCAATATAAGGCTGCGGTGAGAAGGGCTTCTTTGAAGGCTAATTATGTTAAATTTTTGTCACTGATGGTGAGCAAAGTTTTGAATTTTAAGGGTTTGTAGATGTAAAAAAGGAGTACTTAAGTTGGAGTTAACACCAGACAGAGAGAGTTTCAGGATAGTTCTGAGTGTTTTGAGGAGTACTTATGAGCTATGAGGCACGGGTACGAGTACGAGTACCAGTACCATACAAGTACGTCGATACGGTAAAATCCAGAAAAAAGTAAAGTACAGGTATGACTTGGTACGCTTGTAAAAAAATATTTATTTTTAATTTAGAGTAATGCAAATATTAATTAAATGGTGTAATTTGTTAAGATCCAACCTATAATTAACATTTAATGTCAAAAGTAAAAATATAAATCAAAATTAAATATCAATATATTAAATAAATTACAAACCATAGTTTAATTTTAAAATTATGCTAAGCATAAAACTAAAAATAAAAGCGAAGCCTAGTGGAATAAAATATTATTCAACTGAGATACAGTACGACTTGTGTACCCAGTACATATGCAGAAATATCATATAAGGTACCATACGCTGTAAGTACTCGATACAGGTACAACATATTTTTCGAAATACCCATACTTCATAGTTTATGAGCAGTACAAGTGTTATGATTGAATGATGGAGAGACATCAATTTGGCTTGTCCCATCGGATTTAAGGGACACCTCTAATAAAGTCAGATTTCCACACAAGCATCATACTATATAGTTAGAATTGAATCATGCTGTCCCATAGAGAGCTTCAAAACTATTTGAAAATTCCCACTTATTTCCATTGGCTAGTGATCAGATTCATCATCTAGGAGTGAACTGAATATGTGGCATTGGTACACTATTAGCAGTTTGGAACTTAAAAAAACACACATCTAAACTAAACACATTTTCGTTTTAAAAGATATTGTTTAAATAAATAGAAAAACTAATGTTCAAAAAGAAAAAAATAGGCTTCTAACTATTTGTACATTATCACTGTGTTTGAATCTTGAATTTAAATAAAAATAGAATATTCATTCTTTTGTATGGATTGAACATTCAATATTTTCTACTTCTCTGTCTTTTCCTTGGTCCGAATCTGTGCTGCTATCACTTGATGCCATGCTGGGATCTTTCTCTTTATAACAAACTTTACACACTACAAAATTTGATATCTGAGAGAAGACAAGGAGAATACATTGTTAGGAATCTTATTGGCTACAAAAGGTTTAAAAAAAAAAAATTGAAAAAAATTCCTTATGAAGGAAAGTTCTATTCATTAGGAGATCACGCTTTCAAGTTTTAACAATTTTTCTGTTAGAGACGAAATAAGTTCACCTTGTCTTTAATGGTGTTATCAATAAGTTCATCAGGTGCAAAAATGGCAGGGCTGACTCTATATTCATGTATGAACCAATCAGTCTCCATCTCTTGAAGTGGCTTTGCAAAATAGAAAGCCAGCCTTCGCTTGTATCCAATGACTTTATCATTGTCAACTACTGTTTCGTCAGCCAATTCATTCCAACCACCACCATTGCTTGTGAGAAGGAGATTGTGTGGCGGTCTTGTAGTGAAAAAAAACCACTCATTTGGCAACCCATACTTGAATTCACCTATATCATCATTACTCGATCACTATATATTAGATTATGTAAACGCATGAATGTATCTTCATGTTGGCTCTATCATGGTGTGAAAAAACAAAAATATCAATTCCAGAGTTGAGAAACTCTTATATATATTCCGTGTACAAAATATATGTTGACAAATTCAAGGGATAGCTTCTCCAAATCTAAAACAATTTACTTATTCAATTGAATATGAAGCAATTTAAAGTTGAGCTATACAACCTTAATGAATGTGTTTGGTTTCAATTTTTTTGAATTCAATAAAATTGAGTTTTTATTTTTCGTATTTTTAATTTTTAGTGAATATTTTTAAAATTTTAAGCATTTTTTTTTATATTTTTAGATGTACCTTACTTAAATTTATCCAAAAAATATTTTTAAAATTTAATAAATACACAAGAATACGAAAAATATATTGAATTTTTGTATTTTTTAAAATATTTTTGATATTTAATGTATTTTTTAAAGATTTTTTCCACAAATATTATACTTTTTAAATGTATTTACATTAGGTGTATCTAAAAATTAAAAAAAAAATTGCTTACAATATTTAAAATATTCAGTAAAAATAAAAAAGAAAATACAAAAAATAAAAATAAAAATTTTCTGAAAAGTGAATCCTGAAAATCATAAGCAAACAGAGTGAATATCTTTATGAATTATTTGTCAAAATTAATACACTTTTAGATTATCACATAATTTGGTTATTCCCAATTCAAACTCAGCAGCTTCAAGTTTTGATGCAGAAGTTTCGATAGAATTAAACCAAAAAACAAAATTATCACAAGTTATTAACAACAATCCGCATATGTTGCCCACTAAATTGTGTTTAGATTTTCTATTTGTTTTCAAATTTCTATTTTTACAAATCCAAAATCCAAACAATCGAATAAGGAACATTTACAAACTGTTTTTCAATGCTAAATCCAAAATCCAAACAATCGAATAAGGAACATTTACAAACTGTTTTTCAATGTTAAAACCCAGATGATCACCATAGGGGCCCCAATAATCTATATTCACTTTTTCTTCCAAAAAAACAAAATTAATAGTAAAAAAACAAATAATTAATTAATTAAAATAAAAAGATTGCCCAGTTAGATCGTCTTTGCAATCAAAAATCACTAGAATTGCTTTGATGGCCAGTTTGGTGGTTGCTTATAGCGTAGTGGATTGGTACAACTACTTGCAAGGAATGAAGTATAAATAACTTAAATAGATTGGGGAAAAAAAATAATTGATTATTAAGCAGTATGAAAACGTATGCTTTTAACTTTTATTTTTCATTATTAACTTTAAACTTACAAAAAATTACATCAAACAGACCATGATAAGATACATGATACCAATCACAATCATGAGTAGCAAAAAATTGATTATTCATCAGTATAAAAATGTATGCTTTTAACTTTTGTTTTTCATTATCAACTTTAAACTTATAAAAAATTACATCAAACAACCCATAATAAGATATCATGATACCAATCACAATCATGAGAAGCGGCTCAACCATTGTCATGAATTATCTCGTTTGACAACTCAATATTTTAGTTTAAAAGTTAAAAGGTTATTAAAAAATTATAAAGGCAACAATTTATATAAAAAAATCAAAGATTCTCTTTTATTTTTACTTTTTACACATCTTTTCGTAAAAAATCAAAAGTCATTCCAAACATATTAATTTTTTTTACCTCGTATTTTAGGCAGAAAAACAAAAAAGTTACTAAAATAGCATGTTCTCAAACAATAAGTTTAGAGTTAAAAATAAAGGGGACTTACGTAAAGATCTTAATAAGTAGATTTATTATATAATAGGTCATGTGAGAATTAATAGCGTTTTTCTTTAAATATTATTAAAAAACGTTACTAATTAAAAATTGTGACAAAAAAATGTTATTAATTATAAGTTTTAGAGACAATTTAAAAAACCGTCACAAAAAAGTTTACTAATTTTCAACTTTCAACGGCAGTTTAAAAAATTCGTTACAGAAAAATGTCACAATTATAAGTTTTAGCGACAATTTATAAAAATCGCGACAAAAAGAGTCCCTAATTGTCAATTTTTAACGACATATATAAAAAATTATTTTGTAGGCAATTTTATTACGACTTATTTTTAATAAAATTTGATGAGAATTGAAGAACCTATTGTAGTTTACCCTGAAAAGCATAGCAACGTAACAAACTCTTAAAATTCTGCCTTGTTATGACAATGATTAATTAGGATTACGTGTGATTTCTAATGAGATTCATTCTGTCCTGTTATGACATAATATGATTAATTAGGATTACGGGTGATTTCTAATGAGATTCTAAACGCATTGAATTGTGACTTTTAACGTTAGAAATCAATCATAGCCTCCGTTTGGGAAGTAGGTTGGCTTTTTGACTTTTTGACTATTTTAGCTTGGGCTAAAAAGCTTGGTTTGGGAAGAGTTTTTTGGCTTTTTAAACTTTTTTTTGTGAGAGAAGAGTGTAATGATTATGAGTTAGACGTGATGTTTTGTTTTTTATGGCTAAAATAACATATTTTATCTTTTGTGACTAAAATAATCAAAAAAAACCCGAAAAAGCCCTCCCCAAACAGATCCATGCTAACTTCACAATAAAACATGACATAAAAAATAAAATAAAAATTTAACAGAACGACACTTACTAAGAGGAAGTTGATTTGGGGAGTCATAAGAGTAGACATCAATTGTGGTAATAATATTAGCAGGAAGCTCTTGATTGAGTATCTTCTTCTTCAAATAGTGAACCACAAGCTCCGAGTCTCGAGGGCTAAACGTATACCCAGATGGCAAAATAAGTCGTTTACCATTTTGATCAACATTGACCTTAGAAAGAGTGGGGCTTGAGTACTCTTCCTCCATTGTAGAGAGAGAGAGAGATTCCCATACAAAACACAGAGGTAGTAGTAAAAGAAGAAGAACTGGTCTGTGCTTTTATACATGTAGATGGTACAGATGTGTTTGATTCCTGCCCAAACACTCGGTGCTCTCTCCCACCCACCCACGTCTCCTCCCCCATTCCATCTTTATCTCCTCTCTGTTGCACGTCTCTCTCCTTCTCTCTCACCCGATCTCTGCCTCTCACCCCCACCATCCCACCCACCCTCCCGCTCGCTGCCTCTCCCCCTCCACCCGATCTCTGCCTCTTCCCGTCTCCCCCCACCCTCCCACTCGCTTTCTGAAGGCTAGGGTTTCCGATTAAGAACCGCGATACCTTTCTGAACCCCGATTGGAGCTCTCCGGTAGAGCTACTTCAGAGCTACACCAAACCCGAGGCTTCTATCTGTGCAAGGTAATATTTCTGTCTCTGTTCCCCTTCTCTCTCTGCTGAAAGACAATCACAAACCTTTGCAGAAAACAGAATCAGAGTTTCTATATTTCTGTATAGATTGGAAAAGCTATGGATGCTGAAATTCCCTTTATTAGGTAATTTGGCTGTCTGTATATTGCTTTGGGTGTAGATTTCAATATTTTTGTCTTTTATTTATTAATTTCTTTTTTGTTTTATATTCCATTCTGTGATGAATCTGTAGATTTCTTGACATATATACAAAGTTATACGGGGAGAATGATGGAAGGGTTTTTGAATGGCTATGTGTTTGTTGGCCCATGTGAAATGTGCATAAGGTGAACTTCGTATTCTTCATTGTATGCAAGTAGTTTTCTTCCTGATTTCATTTAAATTAGTAGGATCATGTTAACACCGGTACTTGTGTCGGGTCAAAAACTTGCTCATTCTACTATGAGTGGATTGCAGTGAACTTTAAATTTAAAAGTTCATTCATAGATGGAGATCTATTTCAAGTTTTTGAGTGTGGGGTCATGTGCCATTTTCATATAGGGAATGCTGATGAAGGCAGTCAATTATATAGAAATGCTCTTCAGGTCCTTACAGATTCAAAAAGTATGCCTCTGGATGACAACGTAATGGAAAAGATGATAGATTTACCAGAATTGCTGCATTTAGTGGGAAGGTATGCCTTTGTTTCAATTCTGCCACTTTAGATGATAGATTTACCAGAATTGCTGCATTTAGTGGGAAGGTATGCCTTTGTTTCAGTTCTGCCACTTTTCTAATTAAGAAACCTCTTTGTGCTCAGACTACAATAATTTAACTAGCTATGTTTGCATTTAACAAAATAAATTGATAGGTTGAGAAGTTTTATGGATGTTCTATTATCATGTGCGCATAATATCTTTTAATATCTTTTGATAGATTTGAGTTGACATGTTGATTTACATGTTCTTAAGGCCTGCGATTGCTCTTCTACTGATTATGAAGCAATCCTTTCTTTTGCCCAGTTAATGCCAAATTTTTTATTGGTTCCTTAGAGTTGTCTCTACTTACAAATCTGGGTTAATAACATTAAGTATTAAAATACATTTGCGAGGATAGTTTGTAGTTTGTATATTTGAAGGTGTGATAATCTTGAACATGCTATTAGGTTATGAATTTGTTATTGGCTTAATAAGATGGATTGAAATTTGCAATCCATGTAGCATGTGAATTTCTGGGAGATGGTCGATAGATTGAATTTTTGACTTTTGCTTTGTTTTTATGTAATTCGAAGTGAGATTGTATATAATTTAGCAAAATGAGATTGTTAGAAGTGTCTTGAGATTGTATATAATTTAGAAAAATAAGATTGTTATTAAAATGAGATTGTAATAAGGGAAGAGGGTTTTTGAAAATATATAAATGTATGAGAGATACATTTTAATGGCTGAGATTAATCCCAAGTTTATATCAATGGTTGAGATCAATAGATCTCCCGCCCAAGACTTCTCTCCCTAAGCATCATTGTCTTTCCCACCTACCCACGTCTGCCTCCCCACCTTCCCTTTCTATCTCTCTCTCCCTCTCCCTCTCCCTCTCTGTTCTTGAATACGTCTCTCTTTCACAGATACATCTCTCTCTTTCACAGATACACCTCTCCTCTCCCTCGTCGGAGACCCAAACTCGAACCCATACCTTCTTCGATTCAGTGAGAGGAGAGAAAGAGGAGGGCATAGTCGTCCCGCCCCGCCGACGCTGACGCCCTGCCATCCCCGACAAGAAAGTTCGAAAAACATGAGGTAAAAGGTCGCATTGGGTTAAGATTCAGTTCTAAGAATCTGTTGGGTTAAGATTCTAAGAATTTTTTGAACTCTTAATCGTTAGGTGTTTGTTACATTGGGTTCCACTGGGTTGTTTTATTTATTCATTGGGTTTCATTGGGTTGTTTTATTTATTTATTTATATGCATTATTAATTTTCTGAATCTGTTGGGTTCCATTGTATTTAAAGTTAGATTTTTTTGTAATGGAAAAGTATTTGTAGAGACTGAGATTTGCAGTAAGAAATTGCAAGTTTTCGATGTTTCGATGAATAGATTGAACGGGGAGATCCCATTGAGCATATCAAATTGCAATGCCCTTAAATTCTTGGATTTGGGGTTTAACAGTCTGAATGGGAGTATTCCAATTGAGGTTGTGGATTTGAAGAGGCTTTTGGTTTTTTGATTGGGGAATAATTCGGTTGATGGAACTGTTCCAGCAGGGTTTGGGAGCATTGAATTGCTTGAGGTTCTGGATTTACATAATCTCAAACTGGTTGGCAGCATTCCTGAAGAAATCAGCAATTGCAAGTTTCTTCTTCAGTTGTGAGTCCAATTTATTGCCTTTTCAATGTTCTATATCTACATTTCTTTTTTAAGTTTTAATTTCATTTTTTATCCTCTAAATTATTATCTTTTTTATTTTTATTTTTTATCTATATGATTTTTAAACTATTAATTTCATCTATTTAGTTCCAAAAGTTTATAGTTTCAGCTAATGTGATTTAGTTGGAGATATTTGGACAAATATTGGAATCTTAATTCATATTTATTCTTTTATTTTTTGTTTTTATTTCTCTGATATCTTAAACCTGTGAATGCTCATGCTTTATAAGGACACACCTTATTGTTTATTTTTGCATTAGAAATTCAAAGTTCAGAATTTAAACCTTATTGTGCCCGTGAAGATGGAATTATGACTTCTGAACTCCAAGAAATGTTATATTGAGAACAACAAATTGGGGTTTCTGGCTTGGCCGTAAATGTGGATCCAAAAGGAAATAATTTGACTGCTGTTCAGAAGGTTAATTTTGATTTTGATTTTGTTTTTGTGTCCAATGCTTTCCATTTAGAGAAACTTACTTTGATTTTGATTCTGATTCTACCAATTTCCTATTTTGAAACATTGACTTGGTTGGTTTTTGATTGGGCAAATTACAAACACCCCCCGCGAGGTTTGGTAAAAATACAAATTCCCCCCTGAGGTTTGAGAAATTGCATCCCGCCCCCTGAGGTTTATATTTTCATAACAAATTGCCCCTTGAGGTTTTTATTTTCATACAGATTCCCCCCTAATTTTCCCTAATTTGTTATGAAAATTTGACCCTCAGGAGGCAATTTGTAATTTCTCAAACCTCAGGGAGGAATCTGTATTTTCACCAAATCTCGAGGGGGGTGTTTGTAATTTGCCCTTTTTGATTTCATCATGTTTATGTTCCATGTGCTGCCATTGTGAAGCTCAAGTAATTTGGCTTGGACATTGTAGTGTGCAGACTATCATCTCCCATTTTATATGACTAATTACCATCCCCAAAAGCCTCCGAAGCAGCTGATAATTCCAACCCAACAAAACTAGAGCAATTTTAGCAGGTTGTATTCTTAGCATGAAACACACTGTTGTATACAATGTTAACAATCTTTTACGGCACCTGACAATATATAAGCTTTAAAAGTAGTTCCAAATGCATGCTTTTGGCTTGAATGTCTAAAATTAAGTTTTAATGTCATTCTAGGGAGTAATTTTTCTTTTTTAAGTTTTAATTTCATTTTTTATCCTCTAAATTATTATCTTTTTTTATTTTTATTTTTTATCTATGTCATTTTTAAACTATTAATTTCATCTATTTGGTTCCTAAAGTTCATAGTTTCAGCTAATGTGATTTAGTTGGAGATATTTGGACAAATATTGGAATCTTAATTCATATTTATTCTTTTATTTTTATTTCTCTGATATCTTAAACCTGTGAATGCTCATGCTTTATAAGGACACACCTTATTGTTTATTTTTGCATTAGAAATTCAGAGTTCAGAATTTAAACCTTATTGTGCCCGTGAAGATGGAATTATGACTGCTGAACTCCAAGAAATGTTATATTGAGAACAACAAATTGGGGTTTCTGGCTTGGCCGTAAATGTGGATCTAAAAGGAAATAATTTGACTGCTGTTTCGAAGGTTAATTTTGATTTTGTTTTTGTGTCCAATGCTTTTCCATTTAGAGAACCTTACTTTTGATTTTGATTCTGATTCTACCAATTTCCTATTTTGAAACATTGACTTGGTTGGTTTTTGATTTCATCATATTTATGTTCCATGTGCTGCCATTGTGAAGCTCAAGTAATTTGGCTTGGACATTGTAGTGTGCAGACTATCATCTCCCATTTTATATGACTAATTACCATCCCCAAAAGCCTCCGAAGCAGCTGATAATTCCAACCCAACAAAACTAGAGCAATTTTAGCAGGTTGTATTCTTAGCATGAAACACACTGTTGTATACAATGTTAACAATCTATTACGGTACCTGACAATATATAAGCTTTAAAAGCAGTTCCAAATGCATGCTTTTGGCTTGAATGTCTAAAATTAAGTTTTAATGCCATTCTAGGGAGTAATTTTTCTTTTTTAAGTCCAAAATGCATGAAAAACAGCAGCCAACCCCAACTCATCTTAAGGGTGAATTAGGCTACTTACTGATTGACGTCCTTAGTAGGAGGTCGTGCTACTATGATTTTTTAGTCAATTTTTGTTAGTGTTTATGGTAATATACTGTCACTGACTCACGGTTTCTGGCAATATCTGTGGGTGAGACTCACTGGTAATATCTGTGGGTGAGACTCAAGCTATGTTAACACTCACCGATGAACTCTAAATTTCTAATGCAAATTGCTCAATCTCTTAAATTCTGCAAATTGCTACTAAATTCTCTGTTATCTTAAATTCTGCAAATTGCTCATGCTTCTTTTATTCCAAGTCTAGTATGTCTTAAAGAGAAATACTTCTATAATATATTTTTGTTCAGAGAGTTTATTCCTTATTTTAGATTTTTTGTGACTTGTTAATGACTGCATTACTGACCTTATTATGAATTTACAGTCTGCTGGAAAAGTGGAAAAGAATGATAAGGACTCGCAGGATGAAAAAGCAACCACAGGAAAAGCCAATACACCTGCTGTGGGTACGTTTTATGTTATAACAATTGGAATTTCTGTGCCAAAACTAGAACAGTTGATGTTTCAACTCTACATTGCCATGATTTGGTAATTGGTGAGTTAGCGGCTAAGGAGGACTTTTACTTTAGATTCCTATTATTCATCCTCTGTGTACTTTCCTATTATATTCTTATTCAATAACAACTAAAGCATAATTTGATAGCAAAAAGCCATTTCAAAGTTTGAACATCTTAGATTATACAACCGAACATTCATTTTTTTAAATTAACTGTTTTGAAATGAGAGTAGAAAACAATATGAGTGTTTGGTTGAAGAGTGTAAGTTTTCTAATTCAGTGTGATTAAAAAGATGGGTGCTTGGGCAAATTGATTGTAATGTTGGATTATTACCGGGAGTACGTAACATATTGCTCCGTGCACCAGTTCATTTTTACACTGCCATAGCCTCATGAATAGAGCTTCAAGCCCATGACCCTTGCTTTGAAAGGCTGGGTCTCTGCCAACTGTTATTATACCTAGTGCTAGTGTTACCCTTCAATTACTGTGCATTTGTCTACACCATTAACATTTATTGTATACAGTTTTTATTTATTTATTTATTTTATTATTATTATTATTATTATTATTATTATTATTATTATTATTATTATTATTATTATTATTATTATTTTATGGTTAATTGATGGAATGCTTTCAATATATTTCAAGGAGGAATTTAAGGATGAGGAGATGGTTGATGTGAAGTCATTACACATCCGAAACTTTCTCTGAAGTTGAGTTTGTTGATTATAACTGTTAGGATACTCATATCCAACAATTGTTTGAAGAAAAGAGATTATAACTGTTCAGGTATTTGTTAAAATAAAGGGAAATACTGGATTAATGTTTTGGTGATTTGTATGTGTCTGGTCTAACTTATCTTTAGCTCCTTGAATATTGATTGGTTGGCGATCTCCAATCACAGTGAGATTTGAAATTGCAGTTGAAGTGCTGCTTCTTTGTTTTCAATGGCCAACTTTTGTTTTAAGCTTCTGCTATATTACATAAGGATTTTGAAGCTGTCTTCTTTAATTGAAATTCATTGATTACCTAGGGACTTGTCTTAAAAAGAGATGTAATCTTAGATTTAATAGTAAACCACTTGGTTATCTTTTCGTCTATTGTTATTGGTCGGTTTCCAGACAAAAGAAATTTAAAAACTATGCCAATATACTGTAAGAATGTGATGGATCGCAGCCCTCTAAATCTCCATTCTCAAATTTTCACAAAATCTTAAAAAAGGGTAAATTATAAATATGCCCTTGATGTTTGTAAAATATTCTCACTCTCTCTATGGGAGCTTGCATTTTAAGATTAGTATCCAAAGTTTGGTAATGAGGTGCGGTGTTGCCTTTGAGTCAAACTTGGTTCTAGATCATGACACAATGCAATTATACAATTGGATTTGTTATTTTTATAACTGTATTTTAATCTTAATATTATTTACACCGTGCCTTTAGGCACGGGCGTACGTTAGTATATATATAAAACAACACCCAAATAGTACAAATTAATGTGTGTTTGGAAGGGGAAAAATTAGGTACACACCTAACTTTGGCATATTGCACAAAGTAATTGCCTCGAGACTTGAACTCATATTAGGCAAATGTTATTTTAAAACTTGTTGGTCACCAAAAAACAGTGTTGTTGGTCATGTTACTGCAAATTTTATTTTCCTAGAGAGCGGAAGAGGAAACAGCTCGTTTGTGTCAAGAGTTTGTGGAGTCATTTCAAGGGGAAAACATACCAGGGTCTAAGGTATTTGTTAGAGGAGGGACAATCAATGTCAATGATGGACTGAAGATTGATTCTAAAGGTCAGTGCAACTGAGGGACTTCTTAAATAAATCTTTTCTTAGATAGTTTTTCTATATTAAATTGGTCATTTAATATATTCTTGTTTTCTTATGCATTATGCATTAATAATAATTTTCTGTTATAAATATGGGCCTTTTATTCGTTCACGGATGGCAGGTGGAAATTCCGAAAATGGGGTATCTGGTTCAAAGAAAGGGAGTAGGTAAATAAATGCTTTTGAATAACCATGTTACAGTGCTATATGTAATAAGGCATTCTGATTAGGGAAATTATATGATAGAGATATCTTTAAATGAAGCTTTTGTTGCTTCGGCTTGTCAGTATTGGAAAATTAAGAAGCACATGCTGTGTATTTAGTCACAGATTCTGCATTAATCTGTAATGTATTTTCTTATTGTGGCATTTTTTTATTTTTTTATACAAATGATTGAATTATGATGTGAACTTCTGTAGATTAATGCAAACCCGGTTTCTGAACTTCAGATTCAGTGGAGGTTTCTATGTTTCATGGTGAAGTATTGTTGACAGTGCCATTTAAGACAGTTTAGAATATAGTCCGTTGGCAGTTTTGCTTGACTTTGGATGCGAAAACCACATTTTCAATGTTACCTCTGTCAATTAAAATTTTCAAGTATATATATCCCTTTGATGATCCAAGATTTGAATGGTTGAATAGATCTCATTAATTGAACAATGTTGTTCATTTCTTAAACTTTAGGGGCTGCTAATATATGTCTCATATCATAAGTCATAACTAGGGAGAAGTTCATTTAGTACTGGAAATTCTATTATTAAAACCATTGCCTCTTTAGTTTTGCTACCAAACTTATGTAGGTCAAGTGTGGAGAAACCCCTTGTACAAGCTTGGAAACCAAAATCAATATAAGGCTGCAGTGATAAGGGCATCTTTGAAGGCTAATTATGGTAAATTTTTATCACTGATGGTGAGCGAAGTTATGAATTTAAAGGGTTTGCAGATATAAGGAAGGAGTAATAGGTTGGAGTTAACAGCAGGCAAAGAGAGAGTTTCAGGGCAGTTCTAGATATTTTGAGGAGTACTTATGAACAACACTTTTTTGTGTTCAAGTGTTATGATTGAATGATAGAGAGACATCAATTTGGCTCCTCCCATGGGATTTTAAGGGACACCTCTAATAAAGTTAGATTCCCACACAAGCATCATACTAGAGTTAGAATTGAATCAAGCTGTCCCATAGAGATCTTCAAACTACTCCTATAAAAATAGAATATTCATTGTTAGGAATCTTGAATCTTGAACTTGAATAAAAATAGAATATTCATTGTTTTGTGTGGATTGAAGATTCAATATTTTCTACTTCTTTGTCTTTTCCTTGGTCCAAATCTGTGCTGCTATCACTTGATGCCATGCTGGGATCTTTCTCTTCATAACAAACGACTTGATCATTGTCAACTACTGTTTCGTCAGCCAATTCATTCCAACCACCACCATTGCCTGTGAGGAAGAAATTGTGTGGCGATCTTGTGGTGAAGAAATACCACTCATTCGGCAACCCATACTTGAATTCACCTATGACATCATTGCTCGATCACTATATATTAGATTATGTAAACACATGAATGTATCTTCATGTTGGCTCTATCATGGTGTGAAAAACAAAAATATCAATTCAAGAGTTGAGAAATTCTATTATTGCATATATATATTCCGAGTACAAAACATATGTTAGCAAATTCAATGTATAGCTTCTCCAAATCTAAAACAATTTACTATTCAATTGAATATGAAACAATTTAAAGTTGAGCCGTGTTTGGTTTCAATTTTCTGAATTTAATTTTTCAAAAATTGAGTTTTTTATTTTTCGTATTTTTATTTTTAGTTAATATTTTTAAAATTTTAAGCAACTTTTTTTATTTTATATTTTTCGATTTACCTTACTTAAATGTATCCAAAAAGTAAAATATTTTTTAAAAAATATTTTTTAAAATTAATAAATAAAGAAGAATACGAAAAATATATTGAATTTTTATATTTTTTTAAATATTTTTGGTATTTAGTGAATTTTTTAAAGATTTTTTTCACAAATATTATATTTTTTAAGTGTATTTACATTAGGTGTATTTAAATTTTTTTTTTTAAAAAAAAAGCTTAAAATATTGAAAAAATTCAATAAAAGCAAAAAAAAAATACGAAAAATAAAAAAATAATAATTTTCTTAAAAGAAAATCCTGAAAATCATAACCAAATAGACTGAATATCTTTTCGAACTATTTGTCAAAATTAATAATTATCACATAATTTGGCTATTCTCAATTCAAACTTAGCTTCAAGCTCTGATGCAGAAGTTTCAATAATTAAACAAACAAAAAAAAATTCTATCACAAGTTATTAACAACCATCCGCATATGCTGCCCACTAAATTGTGTTTGGATTTTCGATTTGTTTTCACTTTTCTATTTTTAGAAATCCAAAATCTAAACAATCAAGCCATCCACATATGTTGCCCACAAAATTGTGTTTGGATTTTCGATTTGTTTTCACTTTTCTATTTTTAGAAATCTAAAATGTAAACAATCGAATAAGGTAATGCTAAAACCCAGATGATCACCATAGGGGCCCTAATAATCTATATTCATTTTTTCTTCCAAGAACAAAATTAATAATAAAAAGAAACAAATAATTAATTAATTGAAATAAAAAGAACATAGTGAATATCTTTTTGAACTGTTTGTCAAAATTATCACATAATTTGGTTATTCCCAATTCAAACTCAGCAGAAATTTCAATAGAATTAAACAAACAAAAAAAAAAAATTCTATTACAAGTTATTAACAACCATCCGTATATAAATTGTGTTTGGATTTTCGATTTGTTTTCACTTTTCTATTTTTAGAAATCCAAAATCTAAACAATCAATTTACCCAGATGATCACCATAGGCCCCTAATAATCTATATTCATTTTTTGTTCCAAAAAACAAAATTAATAATAAAAAGAAACAAATAATTAATTAATTAAAATAAAAAATTGTCAAGTTGGATTGTCTTTGCAAAGAGTAATCACTGGATTGATCACATTACCATCTTTCCATTGAAGATATGTTTTGATGACCAGTTTGGTAGCTGCTTATAGCTTAGCGGATCAGTACAACTTCTACTTACAATATAAATAACTTAAATAGGTTGGAGAAAAAAAAAATTTATTTTCTTTTTAATTATAAAACAGGACATAAAAATAAAAAATAAAAAAAAACAGAACAACACTTACTAAGAGGAAGTTGATTTGGGGAGTCATAAGAGTAGACACCAATTGTGGCAATAATATGAGGAGGAAGCTCTTGATTGAGTATCTTCTTCTTCAAATAGTGAACCACAAGCTCTGAGTCTAGAGGGCTAAACATATACCCAGATGGCAAAATAAGTTGTTTACCATTTTGATCAACATTCATTGACCTTAGAAAGAGCGGGGCTTGAGTACTCTTCCTCCATTGTAGAGAGAGAGAGAGAGAGAGAGAGAGAGAGCGCTTCCAATGAAAAACACAGAGGTAGTAGTAGAAGAAGAAGAAGAAGAAGAAGAAGAAGTGGTCTGTGCCTTTATACGTATAGATGGTGTCCATAGAAGACTGTACCGATTAGAAGAAGTGAACAGTTCTGCTTTTTTTAGAATTAGAGGTGTGAGTACACCCTGCTTAAAATATAAATTTTAATTTTAAATTTATAACCTATTTTCCATATTGTTTAAAAAGTTAACAAGTCTTGTGCCTTCTTTTGGCTATATATATTTTTTTTTTCCCGAAAAGAAGGCCACTTGGCAAAATGAGATTTCTTGATGGAGAAATTGTTTATTATTTTTTTATTTTTTTTCTTTTGAATGGAGAAATTGACACTTAAGGTAAGAAAATAAGATCACTTGGCAAAATGAGATTCTGGATGAAGAAATTGATACTTGTGTTTATTTGGTGTAAGAAGAGAAGGTTACTTGACAAAAGGAAATTTCTTAGATACCAAGTGAGATGTTTATTTTTAATAATAGCATAAATAAATAAATATAAATAGATAGATAAATTAATGAGTTGTCTCTCGACCTATTTAGTAGTGTTTGTTTAGGTAACTACTAAGATTGGACAATTTGGTTCTTTTGTCAAAAACAAAAAAGCCTTCTATTCTAGTTGACAAAAAAAAAAAACTCTCGCCATAGATTGAACCAAGTTCCTCCTCCAAACTCTGAAATCTAATTTCAAATCTAGATTAAAAAGTAAGGGTTTTGATTGAGAGAGAAGATTTGAAATTAAAAAATTAGGGCTTTGATTTGGGATTTTTAAAAATTAAGGTTGCGTTTGGTAGAGTTTTGTAAATATAATTTGAGAGTATGAGTTGTATTTTGAGTTTGTGAGTTTTAGAATTATGATTTGAGTGTGAAAAATTTGTGTGGTGAAGAGTTTTGAAAAGTGTTTTGAATTTAGTGGAGAATTTTTGATGTGACATATGATGTTGGATACAAAAACTTACAACTCATAACCAAACATACAACTCAAAATTCTATTAAAACACATAAAAAAAAATTTAAAATTCGGAAAATATTTTTTTTGAATATATAAAATTTAACATATGTAAAAAAAAAATTTGCACTATTCGGCGAAATTTGAAAAAAAAATTCCGAAAATCACGCCTGAGACAGAGTGTTTTGTGCAGAGTTTTGGAAACATCATTCGACAACTCTAACCAAACACCATACTTGAATTAAGGTTTGAATCATGATTTGAAATCACAACAAAATAGAGCCTAAGGTTTTGATTGTGCATGCATCGAAGATATAAATGGTGTTCATAGTTTCATATTGTTCATGGATTTATAATTTCATGTTAGGTTTTTATTGTAGTTGTTTTAGGCAGAGTATTTATATTGTTGTTGGTGGTGTATTGTTGATGAATACAGTGACTCATCCTCATTATTAGTCTACTTATTTTGATTTTCTCTATGTGAAGTTCATCTGAGATTGCATTCAAAAACTCTTTTAAGTGTCTCCACATTGATAATATATAGACAACAAGGCATAGTGAATAAAGTCTCATGCATGGGTGCATTGGTAAGAATGTTGGCCTCCAAGGCCTGTGGCATTGAGAAGATGTAAAGAATTGTGTTTGGAGTTTGTTTGTTATGCATTTATGGTTTCTGATATGAACATCAAATCTTCTCTTCCAAAGGCATTTCAAATTGTTGTTTATCCTAATGTACAAGAATACTTTTATGTGTTGGCTATCTAAAGTTTTTTTCAGGTGTCAACTTTAATTCTATATAGCTGCAGTTGTTACTAGTAAAAAAATTAGTTTCACTTGAAAAGAAAAATTTAGTTCCACTTCTGAAGTAATGTTTTTTTACAATTTAAAAAGAAAAAGAAAAAGAACAAACATACTTCTTATTTTTTTGAATTGATATACAATCTTATTGTAGTTGTGAATCTTATGATGGCTATATAATGTATGAATGCATATTTTGTTAAATTT